AGCAAGATAATCCGGCACAGTATCACCCTAGTTACTAAGTTCCAGGATCCTTGAGGGAAGCCCTTCAACCAAACAAACACCTGAAACCCTGAAGCCTAATGCCTAGACTCACATTTCGGAAGTCTCCGCCCCACTGAAGTTCCAGGTGAAGTATTGCAAGCTCTAGCGACTTCCTTGAAGACACTTTGGGGCCTTGAGGGGGATATGGAAGTACACGTGGCTGTGGCAGGGGCTGGACGACGTCTGGCGGGACAGGTGCGAGTTACTTTCGAGAGCGTGCAGTCGGATCCAACGAAATTGGCCCAACTGGACGTGGAAGTGACGACACAGCTTGCGGAACCCGGTGCCCCCGCGAACCAGCAACTCTTGTGGTGGTATCTTCAAGCTTTGAGGGTTCCTGATTTCGAGGTTCCTTTTCGTGTTGCTTGCGTGAGGTTTCCTGCAGGAAGTGCCATCACCCAAGAACTTGCCAACGTCTCCGACTATCTCATAACCTCTGTGATCAGCTTCACTGCGGATACGACGAGGGTTGATTCTGACACCAATGCCGTGTCCTCAACAGCACCCTCGTTGTCAGCGGCATTCGACAATGACATGGTGATCGGTGGCATGGAGGGTATGGTGATCGGTGCTGCGGCGGTCTTGCTGGTGTGTGGTCTGGCTGTTTGCATTCGTTTGAGTGTTCAGCATGCCTGTGCACGCCAGAAGAGGGTGCACCCGTCGGGTGGCGAGGCCATAAGGAGCAGCACATCAAAGCATCTTTCCAACTCTTTGCCCGGAGTCGACTCTTGAATGCATGGTTCGTGGCTAGGAGCCATCCGTGAGTGTTTAGGATGCAGGGCCCCGCGCCAGTCCCCCGAAGCCAAGGACTTGTGGCTCTCTGCTGATCCCGATGTGCGCGCAGGTCGATGAGCCCGGAGCCCCCGCCCCCGTGCTCTGGGTGGAAGGGGTTCCCAAGCCCTCCCGGCGAACCCGGTAGCCGGAATGCAGCGCCCAACTCCAAAGGAGGTTAGGGGCTGAATTTCTTCTTTTCTTTTGCCGAAAGGGCTGCAAGAAGTTTCGGACTTCAATTTTGTTTTGTTGTCGGAGCCTTTTGCAAACTCCACCTACGCCTCGGTTGGTGCTTGTCCTTTTGCGACAAGCCTCCCCATAGTGCGGGAACCCAATGGGGGCCATGTAAGGAGGATCCCAGAGAACCCCCAATACCCCTTAATTAAGGAATAGACCTTAACTTCTAGGGACCTGAATTTGATGGTTTACCGTATATTCCTTAATTAAAGAATATATCTTAACTTATGGGGGACTTAATATGATGGTTTACAGTTTATTCCTTAATTAAAGGGTCTTGGGTTCTCTGGTGGAGCAGAGGTGGAAGGCCACACTTGCCATACTTGTCGCACGCGCACACGGTTTAGGGTTTAGGGTTTCGGGTTTAGGGGGTTTAGGGTTTAGGGTTTAGGGGTTTAGGGTTTAGGGTTTAGGGTTTAGGTGGTGCCGCGCTGTGCTGCAGAACTAGCTGGACATCGGGTGACGTGGCATAGGCGGGCCGCTTATAGTCCCTATGCAGCTAGACCATAAGATATCCCCGAACCCTGTTCTAAAGCCTAAACCCTAAACCCTAAACCCTAAACCCTAAACCCTAAACCCTAAACCCTAAACCCTAGCCACTAGAGCCCATGCTAGCAGAGTAGACTCGGCATCTTTGGAGCCGCATGGCCCAGACCCGACGGAAGATCCGCAAAAAGCCAGCACGACTGGACGGAACGGTGCTGCCCCTAAACCCGAAACCCTCAAACCTGAGACCCTAAACCCTAAAACACTAACCCCAAGCCGTGGGATCACTCGAAGGCGCCGGCTTTACGGGCAGCATGGGGGTTTAGGGTTTGGGGTTTGGGGGTTTGGGGGGTTCCGTTATTCGATGCATCTTGCGGATCAAGGTCTCGGGGAAGTCACACTGGGCAATGAGACGTTTTTGAAGGCTCGCAATCGGCAGCACAGCCACATATCAAGCGATTTATCATATCTCTAGTTCGCGTTCAGTACAGACGCCATGGCAGTCGCAGGGATTTTCAGCTTGCTGGTGTTCTGGCTAATTGCCAGCGCAGGCGCGGCACAACGAGGTTTTGAGTTGTGCGCTTGTTCAAGAAGGCAGTAATATAGAAAAGTATACTATAAAAGGGGCCCAAAACCTTATTCTAATTATCAAGGCGCCTATACAGTATGTCTTCTCGACAAAAGAGTAACCCTAAACCCTAAACCACCTAAAAGGTAAGTCCAAACTCAAGCCAACAACTGCCCTAGCCCCTACAGCTTAAGGGTTAGGAGAGGGCTGAGGAACCCTCAAGTAGTATTGGTATTTATTCAAGCCCCTATGTTGGGTCTGAACCCTAAACCCTAACCCCTAAACCAACTAGCAGGTAAGTCCAAACTCAAGCCAACAACTGCCCTAGGCCCTACAGCTTAAGGGTTAGGAGAGGGCTTTAGGGTTTAGGGTTTAGGGTTTAGGGTTCAGACCCAACATAGGGGCTTGAATAAATACCAATACTACTGGGGGGGTCCTCAGCTTTAAGTATAGTATATTTCACATCAAAGCCCTATTCCAATTATTCTAAACCCTAAACCTCTAACCCTAAACCCCAAAACTCTAAACCCTACACCTGAAACCCTACACCTGAAACCCTAAGCCCATGAACTATGTTTTTTGAATGTTGAAGTAGTGGCGAGGAGGCGTGTCGATTGAGTTTGAAGAGCCTGGATGTCTTGAGGGGCTCCGTTAAGGTTGGGTTGAGGGTTTAGGGTTTAGGGTTTAAGGCTCCTCTGAGGGTTTCCTTTAAGGTCCCTTTAATGAGTTTAGGGTTTAGGGTTTAGGGTCTAGGGTTTAGGGTCTTGGCTTTAGGGTTTAGGGCTCCTTTGAGGGTTCCTGTACGTCTTCCTTGAAGGCTGCAATCATAATCCTACGTGTCCAGTATCCTAGGAAACTAAAGGGTTAACCAAAAAATTGATCGGGATTGTCGTACCCTAGAAACGGTTGAAGGTTACCTACCCGACTACTAACTAGAAGTAATCCTCTAAGTATAGTAGTCAACCCTAAACCCTAAAACCCTAAACCCTGAACCCCTAAATCCTTAAACCCTGAACCCCTAAACCCCTAAACCCTGAGCCCCTAAACCCCCAAACCCTTACATGCTCGACGGTAAACCCCGAAGCTGTAGTCAGTTATGGAGTTAGGGCATTTTCGGGTCGCTGGGTTAAACACATCTGGAATCGAAGTCTGGTAGGAAGGGTTTAGGGTTTTGGGTTTAGGCTGAGGGTGCAGGGTGTGGGGCTTGGGTTTAGGATCCATTTTCAACGCCACCCTGGGCCTTCAAAGCTTGGAGCCTCAAACCCAACAGGGCAACTCCAGCACTCCAACAATCCCTTAGCAAGAGATCTGCCTCACTGTGTAGGTGCGGAGTAGGACGGATGGTGAGTGAGGGCCAGCTCTACTGTAGAGATGGGGAGCCTCAGACGAAGCCTAAGCCTAAACGTCACAAGGCCATGAGGCCTTGAATCTCTTGCCACCCATAAATCCTAAACCCTAAACCCTAAACCCTAAACCCTAAACCCCAAACCGATAAGCCTAAGCCCCGAACCAAAAGCCTTGTAGCCGAAGCGTGTCAAAAGGAGCACAGCCCTCTCCCCGCCGACGCTCACCATCTCCGTCTCCGATATTTGATGACCGCCGCCGAACTTGGGCTGAAAGTAAGAGGATATCGTTTTGGGGTTTAGGGGTTTAGGGGTTTAGGGTATAGGGTTTGGGGGATATCGTTATGATTTTTTTGAGACTTCGAGTTTACTGGCATGACTCTTCTTGATTCCACTAGGGTGTTGCCTTCGTCGGGCTGTTTCTCGCCACTTCCCATAGCAACATTTGTTCTCAACATAGGTAGTTCTTTGAATTAGGGTCCCTTTTACGGTCCTTTTTATAAGGGTGCCGTACTATATTGGGGACCTAAAAGGGGCCCTAACTTAGAGAACTACCCACATAGAGTTTCTAGGGATTCCGTTCAAAGCAGGGGTTGGCACTGAACGTCCTCAGGTTTACGTCCTAAGCCTCGTGCCTCTTGTCTTGAAGCAGCAAGCCCGACGCCCTAAACCCTAAACCCTAAACCCTAAACCCTAAACCCTAAACGTCAGAACTTCGAACTCTCAAGCCCAGACCCTAAACTTAGAAACCCAAAATGGATATAGGCAGAAGCATTTTAGAGGGATACCCTACCTTATTGGGCTTCATTATAAGGGGATTTAGATGGGATCTCCCTATCCTAATTTTTGCTTATGTGCTTTTTTGGGGGCCCTATAAACCCGGAAGCCCGGCAAAACCCTAAACCCCAAGCACCAAACCTACAGCTTGAACCCTGAGGCTTCTCGCCATCCCCGTCTCCGATATTTGATGACCGCCGCCGAACTTGGGCTGAA